GTAAGCAATCAGCGCTGCCCATGGACACCCGCAACATAGGAGGAGGGATAGGGATTGGAGAGGGATGAGAGAAGAAGAATTGGGCCTTTAGTAACCTCATTCACACAGCTAAACATTCCACGCAGTGATTGTTTCTCGCCGGTTTTTTTGTGAAACCGTGGTATCACTAGGATCGAGCTGACCCATTCGTGCCGAAGCATGGCTCTCCCACATTTAATATCTAGTACTCCATTCAGCTTTTACATCAATTTCACTTGACCATCATCCAAAAGGATCGTTCCTTTTTTTTTTTTTAATATGTCTGATGTTAAGCAATCAGCGCCGCCCATGGACACTCGCAACGGAGGAGTTACGAGAGCGTTGCCGACCTTTTAGGGATTAGGGATTTGGAGATTTAGGGATTTAGGAGTGATCGGGGGAGGGGAAGGATTGGGCCTCCGGTAACCTCACTCACACGGCGAAACACAACGCTGTGTTTTTTCACGCCGGTTTTCTGTGAGGCCGTGGTATCACTCCGGTCGAGCCGACCCATTCGTGCCGAAGCATGGCTCTCCCACAGTTCTTGCCAGCCTAGCTATATAAAAAAATCGCTTCACATAGCTTTCGCTGTACCCAAGCCTTAGCACAGAAGTATGTGAAATATTATGTATATTATGTTCCACCTGAATACATATAGTAATAACTGGCGGCACTTGTACTCCAATACTGAATATCCGCGTAATTGGAGCCGACAGGTCATTGTTCACTGCAGGTTGCAGTTGCCAACATGATTTTAAATTCAAGTCTTAAAAATACACTGAACCTTTTTGGTAGGCAGTTCATTAACTTATAAACACTATTAAACATTTATATTTATGGTTTTTATTGCGATTTTTTATCAAAAGATCGTTGCCTCCAACTTCTAGGTAAGTACCGGTTCCGGTGTTCTAATTCGTCAGATAATTAAAAATATAAAAATGAATTGCAAAATGTTTTGGTAACAACGCCTGGACCCATTTTGCTTATTCTTTTTTTGTTGTGTTTGTTATTGTCAGGAGAAGGTTCTTATCAAAAGTAAATTTTAGAGAACTTGAGGGGAAAATTGGAAAAAGTCATCCTTTCGTTATTAGCGAGATAGTTGGAGAAATATACTATTATTAAATTAAAAGTTTGTTTCATATACTTTGACGAGTAAAAGTGCCGTTTTATGGCCTATTTGCAAAAATAAATTCATTGTTTCATTGTTTTTTGAAGTTGGTATAAAATAATGTAAACACTACATAGTATAAAATTAAATATAAGTAGTCGATTTATTTGTCCCAGTGTACAGCACGTCGATTCTATAAAATTTGTTTGATTTTGAATCTTGTTCGAGTGTGAAGTGAACGTCGATGTGACGGGGAAATTACACTATAGAATGCCACTTTTAACGTCATATCATACTTTATCTATCAAAATGTTGCGGTCAATTTAGTTCAACTCGCAAGTGTACTACTACTCACAACGGATTCAGATTCGAAGTTTAAAATGAAGTTAAGACTTCATTCTAAACTTTATTTATGATTGTGTAAGCACAATCACACCGTGTTGGTAAAGAAACTGGTTGGTCCTTAATCAGCTAGAGTCTGACACTCCTTCTCATGTCGCCTAGGGAGGGAGCGAGAAAATATTTGATTATTGAGAAAGAATTCAAGGGAAGGTCTTAAAAGCCCATTATTACACCATATTATCAGAAAAACCTTAATATATGTATGTATACAAAAATAATTAAAAGTATGTGATTAAGTATATAGGTAATGATGTAAAATATATAGAAAACTTAAAAGGCCACGTAATAAATATGAATTTGAAAACCTGTTGACGTTTTTCAAACCACGATTTGCATTGTAACGCAATGAAAATAACTTAGTTTTACTTAAGTTATGGTTGGAGCTTAATGTTTTAACTTAAGCGCTTGCAACATGAGCTCTGTCGCATAATGATTGAGTTATAAACTTGTTAAAACATAAAATATACCTTCGTACTTTGTTTATAGAATTTAAAATTATTAAAAGCAGTAATTTTCTTATTCTTTGAATAGGTAGTAATTATTGTGAGACATACTAAGTTTCTTGAAAATAATTTATTTACCGATCGATTTCTGTAAAATTTGGTACAGACATAGTTTGGAACTCGAGAAAAGACATAGAATAGTTTTATACCAAAAATCTGCAGGAATTCACAATTCCAAGCGAACGGAGTCGTGCGTAAAGGCTAGTTGTTTATAAAGGTACAATTTCAAATACCCATCACACTCAGACGCGAAACATCAATTTGTAAACCACATAGAGTGGTTTCGTGCGGGAATCGAACCCGCAACACGTTGGACAGCAGGTGGTAGCATATACCGCGTCAATTGTGCAGTTAGATCAATATTCATATTTCGTTTGTAACAATTATCCCCTCCGAGGCACTACAACTCCATACGCTAAGTCAGGGCTGTCCAAACAAGGGCCACTAAACTGCTTCAATATTTTATATATAGTATTTTTTTGTGAATGTAATAAAGAACTAAGTATTCTCAATGTCGAATGTTATGACAACAAAATTCCCGGTAAAATACAACAATTAAAAGAAAATAGATAATTTGAAGTCCTACTAATATTATACATGTGAAATTTTGTGTTTGTTATTCTTTCACGTAAAAACAACTAGCTATGTATAAAGAAAAGTTTATGTAGACAAGAATATTACAAGTGAAATGATTATTTTAGGGATACAGATGCATGGAGACAGACTGGTCCTGCTCTACAGGATAGTATTCACGAAAATAAATCATCATCAGCCTGATGTCGTCCCCTGCTGCACATAGGCCTCCCCAATTGCACACCTCTGAGCTCGATGTTCAGCTCTTCTCATCCAACCACTGTCAGCCAGCCGAAAATAAATAATGTGTTTTAGGTAAATCTTACATGAACGGAACTATTTAAAATTAAAATTGAATGAAAACCAGTTTGCCTTTGGGGATTCTCAAAGTTGTTTATTTTGCTTCTTAGGCTTTAGGAACTCTCCGAGTTCAGCAGAGGTTGCAGCATAATTTTATACAATTAAGGATATTCCCGAAACATTTGAATACGCTAGCGTTTAGGTACAGCAGGTTATTAATGTATAAAACAAAGAAGCTGCGTTAAAACATTCTGCGGGCCGTATCAAGTCAAGCCGCGAGCCATATGCTGTCCGCGGGCCGATGTTTGGACAGCTCTGCATTGACTTCGTAGTTAAAGAATGTACAATTCCAAAAATATAAATTTGTCTAATTGAATAATTGGTAGAGAAGCAACACTTCGCCCACTTCGCACAAGGGCATGTCTGTATAATGTCGTAATACATACGCACACACGCGCGGTATAATTGTTGTGATTTACCAATAAAAGAAATAGTTTACGTAAACTAAGTAAGTAACTGTTTTATATCAATTAAAATACATTTAACGCCATTTTATGTGAAAGAGCCATGTTTCGGCACGAATTCGTCCATGTGAATAACGTTGTAAGGCTCAATTATGCTTCCCCTATTTCTGGGTTTAGGGTTTTGGAGATTTAGGGATTGGAGGGCCGGTTACGAACTCCACAGGTGGCGCCGATTACCTACCATTAAGTAATCTGTAAATTCCTTTGATGCCATATCAAATGTGTAAATTATATCATTAAAATGTGGGACAGTCATGCTTCCTCACGAATGGGTCAGCTCGCCCGGAATGATTCCACGGCTTCACAGAAAACCGGCGTGAAATAACTACAGTGTTATATGTTTCCGTATGAATGGGGTTACCGTAGGCCCAGTCCTGTTCCTAACTGCATCCCTCCCCAAACCTTAAATTTCCAAAACCCAAAACTCACAAAGCCGGCAACGAATTCGTAAACTTCTGGCGTTGCCAGGTCAGGTAATAAGTCCACTCGTTTGCCGCCATATCACATGAAAAAATATTTACTTACCAATATTTTCATATTTCAACTCAATAGTAAATAACACTTACAATAAAGCAAAATTCCCCATTAAATAATTAAATGAGTAATTCTGTGATATCTATACTAATATTATACAGAAATCTTTGGAACCGCTGATCGGATTGTCACAATTCTTTCGCTGATAGAAAGCTACAATGTTCCTGAATGCTATAGGCTATAAAACATCACACACATGTATTACAAAATTGTATGTAATTATTTAATTCCATACAATCCCTTATGACCTTGTGTCTGTACCCACGTCAAGAGATGCAACTGTCTATCACTCCATTAATATTGGCGAGTGTGGGCATAGGTATTGCATCAAAACAATCTCCATGAGTAATGATTCATCTCGATAACTCACGATTTTATACTTGTATTGCAATTAGATGTGTACAACACACAAAACAAAAAAAAAAATGGATAATTTTCGTCGTTCATTGTTTTGAGAAAAATAGGTATTTCGTATAGTGCTGATTTTTCAATGGTTAGATAAAAGTTACCTGGGGAATGATAATGATGCTGTCGCGTCAAAATGTTTGTATAAGACAGTGACAGCAACAGTTTTATTCTTCAGAGAACGTTTATCTGGCTATTGAAAAATCAGCCCTAATTCGATTACGTTCTAGCGTGTATTGTACCTCATTATAATAAAAAAATAAAAAAAATATATATTTTTCAATACCAAGTCATATTTATTAAATCTCCAATTTCCATCTCCCCCTGACCTCCAAGACCTCTTGTTTGTAAAATGCCGACAACTTGCAACTCCTGCGGTGTTGCGGGAGTCCATTGCTTACCATGAGGTAAACCGACAGCTCGTTTGCCAACCCAATCACTTTTAATATTTATATATTTTTTTAATGAATATCCATAAAAATCAATGACTTATTTACTATTGACATTAAACTCTTGCATTCTATTGTCTATTTAAATTTAACTCTAATTAGGTATCTCAATAAATTCTTCTCGTAAAACAATAAATAAATGAACACCTTTTCTACGTTTCAGGCAAAGATGTCATCATAGAAAATGGCGCTGAAACTGAAATACAAGGACGAACACGGCGTCGTTCAAATCAACATGTCGCCAACGTCCAGCCCGAAAGAGCCCGACAAAGACCTCACAGGACCGAAGTTCGATACCATCAACAACAGATTCGCACAATACGACCTCTTTGGAGGGAAGTATGATGTAGACTCGGGAGGGGAGACGCCGCGGTCGCTGTTCCGAAGCCGCTACAACTCGATCGAGGAGGAACTCGCCAACACTCCGTACGCCTTCACGACCGAGCGCTCACTCAGACTCAACAGCGCAAACAAACTAGACATTACGATACAGACGCGCGACGAGACATCACCTTCCAAAGACATACAAGACGATCGATTCTTCAATCGCCGATTAAGTTTGGAATACGATGAATCGTTATTCGGACCGCAAATCGATTTTAAAGTGAACGATTCTGGAACTCCTGCGTTTACGGTGACGCAGCTGATCCACGCTCAGGATCGATATTTCGATTTGTCTGGGCGCCAGTCGGAGAGCCCTTGTGGTAAAGTGTTTTCGGAAGTGCATGTGCCAAGTCCTAAGAGGAATGGGGAGGCGTTCAGGGTGCTGTCTGCTGATGTGAAGAGTGGGAGACAGGAACCGGTGCCAGTGGCGAAACCGTGAGTACATTCCTTTTTATAATTTATCTTTGAAATTTTATAGAAACGATGTTATAAATACTTTAAAATTTGCATTTATTTTTACAAATGTTTTATTATAAATTCATTTATTTCTGTAAGGTTATTCGTATGCACAGTCACATTTAAAATGTAACTACGTTCTATAAAATGCGAAAAATAATCCAAAACAAAACACTACCTATCCCGCAACTACCTACAAAATAATCATTATCTTTATAAGTATATAAAAATTTCGTGTCACGTGTTTGTCCGCGATGGACTCCTAAATTACTAAACCGATTTTAAATTTGATTAGCATTCCGTGTGAATTTTGATCCAACTTGAAAGATAGGATAGCTTACATCTCAATTTATAGTCACAATATTATTTACCTTAGCCACAGCAACGCGTGCCTGGGACCGTTACTACATAAAATTACCAAGTAGTTTTACTTCTAGCTTGTTCTCAGAAGTTTTAGACATACTTGGGTTAATTAGATAATTGTTCAAATTACAATAAAAAACGCTTCAAACTACTACAGGCTCTGCCCCCGGCTGTACCTCTATAATTGTTTCGTAATAAAAACAATGATGATACTAAGTATGTAATTTAGTTACGAAAATTACAGTGGACATAGTAATATTTTCGATAATAACGTATTTAGTTTTCGTTTGTATAAACAAATGAAGTTTTTTTTAAGTATGTATGTTTTGTCACCATAAAATTTAAAAAGAGCATCACGAATACTTTTTTTTATTCTTACAGAACTTAAAGATTAATTACACATTATATATTGTAACTTAAACTAGGTATATAATGAGTTTGGTATTTACAAGCCTTCACAAGTAATTATTAAAACTATTGATAAACATTAGTTTTTTAGAGAATTAAAAACCAGATCAATCTTTGTATTAATTGTTTTAATATAATTTTTCGATTAATTTAAATCATTGAACACTTTTTTATTTTTGTCTAAAGGAATTAATTGATTTCACTTTTGATAGTACCTATATTAATTTAAAAATATCATAATGATCTCCCACTCCTCCAATGAATATAAATCTGACATTTTCATTATGTAACTGACTGACGAACTGATTTATTTTAAATTTTTATACACTGGCTTTAAATATTTATAACTTCAGACATAAATATTAATCAACCAACATACCTTATAAATAAACAAATCCTGCAATCCTACTCATTTATTGTCCTAATGTATGGATGTACGTTTGTTACGCTTTCACGCAAAAACGGCTGGACTGATTTGATAAAAATTTGGTATGTACCATAATATCCTGGTTTGGCAGATAGGCTACTTTTTATCAACATAACAAGCCGCGGGCGGCAGCTAATTGACAATAAATCTTCAAACCAAATACAGACTTAATTACAATAATAAATAACACACCACAGTTCACAAACCTCGAAAATACACAACACAAGAAGACAAAACAAAACACGATTTATTGTATAGCTTCCTAAAATAGTCTTTAATGGCCGTCTTCTAAATTTAAACCGACACAATCGGTCTTTTTACAAAAGACTAAATAGATATTGGTTCAACACGTGTTTAACTAGACATGCTTCTTTGATTTTACTAGTATTTTGTCGCTAGAACTTGTGTAGGTACTAAGTGATCTATTTGGTAACCTAAATATCATCGTAAATTGTTTAGCTATTTTCGATATGAGCTTGTTTGTACATATTAACTAAGACGGTTGTATCGAATGGTTGATTTGAATATGAATGAAATGGCACATATATAAAAAGTCTTGATTAAATCAGGCTACTTTTTACATCGACCCATTTTTTGAAGTTATTAACTATGGTATAACTAGCTTACGCCCACGGCTTTACCCGCATGGTATGTTGATAAATCACCTATGTCCTATTCCGATTGTATCCTATGCCTGTGCCAGTTTTCATCCACATCCGTTCAGCCGTTTTGGCGTGACTGAGTAACAAACAACCAAACATCGTAACTATCGCATTTATAATATTAGTAAGAAGTAAGATAAGATTAAATAATAAGGGCATGGCGTAGTAAGTTATTGTAAATAAAGCCACATTTAACACTTTTATTATCAATTTTGAAAGTTTATTTTTTGTGAGTTAGTTACACAATTTAATTTTAATAATAACTAGCTACTCTCGCGCGGTTTCACCCGCTGGTCGGCTCCATTTAGTCGTAGCGTGATGTTTTATAGCCTATACTGCACTAGCACTCAGGAACATTGTAGCTATCTATCAGTGAAAGAATTTTGGAAATCCGACCACCGGTTCCAAAGATTACCCCCTACATACAAACTTACAAATTTTAATTCTTTATAATATTAGTATAGATTACTAGCGACGGTTTCGCACGGATGCAATGCTGGTACTAAATTTCTACACTATTTAATAAATGTTATTATACATATAAACCTTCCTCTGCAATCACTCTATCTATAAAAAAACCGCATCATAATCCGTTGCATAGTTTTAAAGATTTAAGCTTATATAGGGATTATTTATTATGTTTTCGGCTTACTCACGTAATAATTTGACGAGATACTCGACTAGTTTCAAGCCATGCTAGAGGCCCATATTCATGAGCAGCATTCCGCGACACGCGACTCGGCGACCGTCGCGCTGCTACTGGCTACTCGAGTCTGCGCGCCCAACGCGCCCTCTGCCGTGATTCACGCGCACTTTCTTCTAGCCGTGGTGTTGGCAGCGACGGCGCGCGCGGCACTGTTGGCACGCTAGACTCGCCCGCCTGCAGCTGCGTTGGTGTTGGGTTCGAATCCCGGGTCGACGCAAAATCAGTGTTACATACCGCGCTAACTGTGTCACACTCCAGACCCGCAACAGTGCAGTCTGATGCAGATTTCATAATAAGTATATAGGTATAGATGTCATAATAATTATATAGGGATATAGGGACAGAGAAAATGAGTTTGTTTTATACTATGTAGCGATAGTGATACCTATTAATAAATATCATCTGTTTTTTGTTAAAATAGCTTCAGACACACTTACACTACACTAGAACACAAAAATGGCGGCTCAACAACAAGAATTTTAATTGCTAATTATACCTACGTATGTATACAAGTTATTATATTTTCTCAACATTAATCTTTGTAAAAATAACAATTACTTTGTTGTTGATACATATTCATGAATTTGAGATCTCAAGATGTTACAGCATTTGTAGCTAATATCTGCTCAGTGTACCTACGCGTGTGAAAGTATTTCGTAGTGTGTCTTCAAAAAAAAAACAGGAAATCACTATACATCTAAGCTTCCACATTTATCTTAGTAATTAATGCTATAATACTCGTTCCATATCTCTTCCTTGGAAGCAATGGGCATAGAGCACAGGTGAATCTATCGAAAAAAAAAACAAATGACTTCTCGCTCGGCCAGGGTAAGGCGAGAGAGTTTCAGACTCTTACTGACTAAAATCCCTTTTTTAGTCTGTAGACTTTAATTTTTAGTGGGTAAAATTCACAGTTCAGAGGTCATAAGCTTTTGGTTTATGCTACGATGTGGCGAACGATGGGGCACGCCAAACTTTTTTGGAAACACAGATACCTACAATAGATATGGCAAGTAATTCATTAACATTACAATAATAGGACTAGATGCGTGTAATAGATGTGATTGCAATTAAATAACTTTCATTATGTTACCTATATGAGAGTTCGTTGTGTGGTCATCTTTCTTAAAGACAGGTGGTTTTTGTGAGAGGAAAATCATCCAATGACTTCTCCCGCCCAGGGTGACGCGAGAGGGAGTGTCAGACTCTTACTGACTAAACTCCCCCCATGTCTTCTCCTGCTCAAGGCCGAGGCCGCGCTACCTTATTGCGCTTACCCCGCAACCCCGGCTGAACATCAGCCCTATAGGCCCCGTCCGATCGGCTCCTGCTTCAACCTGAGCTGAAGTAGGTACATCATAGCGCTTGGGTCGGCGAAGCGTTCCGCGCGCGCCTCAAAGAGTCAATAGACCACCGCAGACGGGGCCCTATAGGGCTGATGTTCAGCCGGGGTTACGGGGTAAGCGCAATGAGTCACCGCGGCCTTGGCCCAGAGCAGGAGAAGGAACAGGGGGGTTTTTAGTCAGTAAGTGTCTGACACTTACTGACGTTAGGAGATAATTTCCTAGCCTCAAAAACTAAGTTAATACTTATTGATGGAATATTCTTAGAAGCAAAAATATTTCACGTCTATTTGTCTGTCCGTATGTACGTAGTTATAATTACAACGGACAATCGACACTCTTACCACTGGAAGCGGAACACAATAACTCTTATTGTCGTAAGCAGAGTTAGAAGTCCCAACAGTTACTAATTGACAGTTAAGTTGAGATCTAAAAGATTACTAGGTAATTTACTAGGTGAAATGAGTCAACTATGCATAGGTAGTAGTTAGGTTGCTTTAACTAAATTGTTGGTTAGTTAATACAATTTACAGTGAACGAAGTTTTGTATTTTTAACTTGATTTTCATCATCGGATTTTTCCACAATTCCTTACTATTTTCAACCAGATATTTCGCCCACAGGTTTTGTTTAAAAAAACGTTCCTTAGGTACTCGAATTTTCTTCTGTTGTCGTGGATGTGTTTAAATCGAAAAGTCGTTGCCCCATTCTACGATTTTCGTCTGTGTCGTGGGTGCGTTTACAAACATATAATTTCACATACACATCACATCAAGATCCGAAACCACGATTTGTAGATCACACAAAGATTTGTTCCGTGCGTGAATCGAACCCTCGACACCTAGTGCGACAGCTAGCAACCAACCGCACAATGCTGGGGTAAAAAATAGCCTTTGTGTTATTCCAGACTATAATCTATCTCTGTGGCAAACTTCATTCAGATCTGTTTAGTATTTTTTTACGTAAAAGAGTAATAAACATCAACCTCTACACAATTAGACAACATTCTATTTTTAATTATAACCTTAGCGCCTAAACAAAACTACTTAAATCAAAAACTCTATGAGCAGT